AAACCTTTGGTCTCTGAAAACAGTCCTGAATTGATATCTTACCAGAGGCCATATCAGTCTCATTTACAGCCAGAGAAAAGCTTGGCAAGGAAGCTGAGGGAAAAAAAATGCATGCCCTTTAAACAGCCCAGAGGGAAAATGTTGCATTGAGAGATTCACTGCTACAAACCTGGTTGGTTTATGTGCCTTCTCCTATGCTGTTGTCAGGGGGAAATATAATTGCTCCTGTATCCTTCTGTGTAGGCTGTTAAGCCAGCTCTGTTGCAAATTTTCATCACTGGAATGGATAATATCTTGGTCTTACTTGTAATTTGAAGCCATCTATGGATGTCTTGTTCTAAATCTAAGGAAGCAGTGATTAAATTCCTACCAAACTGTCCAGTTTGACAGAGGACTCCAAGCATTTATTTACTGGCTGCTTCTCTGGAGCTAAGTTATATCCTCCCCATTTATATGTCTATAGTAGGTGCAGAATTTGCGGTCAGGTACCATGAAAAAATGTTTCTTGCAAGATGTTGGTTCCTGTGGCTAGGGAAATGTTCCTGCACTCTCAGTTCACAGCTCAGAGAAATCCAAACAGCAGCCACAGCTATCTAAAGGGAGGTTGGGCTCTGATAAACCAGGATTAGAATCCTTTCAGGGAAGGACTCTGGTATTTGTAAATGATGGCTCCACACCCATGGATTTGACCCAAAATGGTTCTGCGACGTGGCCAGTTTTTCAGCAGAATAGTTCAACAGGGTGTGGAAAGCAGATCTGTGACCTTCTGCCTGCAGCCTGCTTACCTCCATTAGAACGGGATACCGGAGCAACAGGAGTGCAGTCCCATGGCCTCCCAGCCAGCACATACTAAGTCATTTCAAAGCAAAAAGACTGTTCTACAAAAAAAAAAAAAAATCCTGGACAATGAGCCACAGCAGTAGTTTAAGTGAAGAAATAACATGATGTGCAATGTGTATCCTATGTCGTTTTCTTTCAGTTTACTCAAACCTTTCAATCAGGACTGTTCTGAAAAAGTCACAAGATGTCTCTGTCCTTAGTAGCCAAAACTGGACTTAAGTAATTGGCCGGGGATGAGAAAAGAGGGTTGCTTGGAAGGCTGACTGAGGAGTGAGGTGATGAGTCAGGGATATGGCAGGGCTAGCCAGCAGAGGAGATGCAGGGCTACCCTAAGACAAGGAGCTGCAGCTGTTCCAGAGGGCTCCGCTTGCTCTTTCAGGTCAGTGTGACCAGGAGTAGCAGGGATGAGCCACAGTTTTTTAGCCCAGAATCTGGGCATCATTCCAGTACCTAAATGCATCCTGCTTATAGCTCTGTCTATTTTCATGTAGACCATGTCTGGGTATACAAAACAATCTGTTTGTTTATTTGTTTTTTTTTTTGTTTTGTTTTGGTGGCTTGGAAGATTTTTTGAGTCTTCTTTTGCTTCATCAGTAGGAACTCTGCAGAGATCGTCCCCCTCCAAAGTGCTCCATTTCAGATTCATTCATGACAGTGGAGGCAAGGATGCAACTGGAGACAGAGGTGCAGCACTGGCAGACCTAGCACCAAGTCCCCTGAGCACATTCTCTATCAGGGTGGGCTAGGTGCTCTCAAATACAAGTGTCATCCCAATAAGACAGGCGCATTCTGCCTTATGGATGGCAGATCTTTTGGGCTGCACAAACAGATGTCCTGTGTCTTATGGCTTTTCAGTTATATTTTGTAACTTTTACAGCAATATTTTGCATATCACCCATACACCAGACTAAGACTGCTAGTTAAAACACCAAATTGGTGGAGCATTCTGAGGTTGGTCCGATTTATATTGATGAGGTCATTCTTGGCAGCTTCAGATGCACTCACCTGAGGACAGCAAGGGCAATAAAAGTTCAGGAACAAAGGCGAGATCTGGACCTTAGTTGTAAATATTAATCTTTTGTGAGTTCATGAATTTTTCTCCTCATCAAATTGTTACAAAATTGGAATTGGTTTCATTTCCTTTACTGTATTAGAGCCAAGGATGAAATTAAGTTTATCAGTTACACAGACCAGCCTAAGTTTCCTGCTATTGTGTGATCCTGCTTCTTTGCTTTTCATTAAAAAAAAAAAAAAAAAAGTAAGAAAAAATTCAAAATGCTTTTAATGAAGAAAACCATTAGGTACAGCAATTTTTTGTTGTTGTGGAGGAAGTACAGCTTCACAGGTGAAATCACAAGCTGGGAAAATTTTGTGATACAACGTGTTTGTGATTACTACATACATTCAACACACAATGTCTTTTGTGGACATTTTTTAGTTTAGTTTTTACTGCAACGAATGCAAAGTCTTGATGTTGATTCTACTTTACTTTTGAAGCAAAGAAGAGTTTATCCATTTTATTGTGAGTCTGTAACTTTTCCTTTGGGTTGGAATGATTTTGGGTTGAACTCAGTTTACTACCCAAACAGGTTTACCACATCTACAAGCTATACTGAAGATGTTACTACAGATCTTTGCCATGGCATAGTTTTTCTTTTACTGCGATTTAGCTTTTTCTGTGAAATCTAATCTTGCATTTGGATGAATTTTCCAGATATTTGGGGGCAGGGAAGTTGAGGAATTTTTTTTACATCACTAGGAAGACATGACATTATTTAAGATATAATATAGCTTCAACCAGACAATAGTACTATCAAGAAATCTTTAATTCTATGCTTTCACCACAACAAAGTTATCTTTCTCTTCAGACTTTAAAAGCACAGTGGCCTGGTACAAAGCCAAAATATTGGCAAATGCCACTGTCAGTAGTGGTATTCAAAAAGCACATTTTGGAGAGTTTCTGAATGTTTAGAATACACATATAATAGAATATCCATCGTACAAAGTTGTAACCAATAGAGGTTGGGCATTTTTTAGGTCACCTCCTCTCTAAATTTTTCTATAATTGTGTGATTTGGTGCATTACTCAGAAAACTGATAATGGAACACAGGACTGCTTGGGAAAGCAGATCTTGTCAGACTTTCTTTCTTAATCGGGCTGTGGAATGGATCAGTATGGATTTGAGTGGAAGCATTATACACTTGGACATTAGGCACAACTTAGGTACAGTATAATATTTTGACTAGAGAACTAGAATAACATAGGGACAGCATTTCACACATGAAATAGATTGCAAAAGAGCTGATAAATCTCAGCTGCATGTAAGCAAAGAACTCTCAACAAGTGTTTCAAGAGAAATTCTGCAGGAATCAGTTTTTGACTACATGGTGCTTAAAATTCTTAATCCATTACCTTAAAGAGCATAAATCATCAATAAAAAGATTTTAAAAGGTCAAGTTATGTCTTGCCTATGACTTAGGGCTGTAAGTAATTCATGCAGAGTGTTTTGAAAAGATTGAAGTGGATTAGTGAAGACCTGAAAGAGTCACTAGAGAGTTGGAAAATATGCCATCAAGTGAAAAATTCAGAAAATGCAATGCCTGTAATAACTCAGATTTAAGAGGTGACTTAAGGACACTGTATAAGTATGTAGGGAACAAAACTTTAATAACAGGTGTCTTCAGTGTAGCCAACAAAAGTTAACAGAGCCCAGTGGCAGAAACCTGAAGTTAGAGAAATCAGACTAGGAACAAGTTCCTGCTATCCTACATCCCTCTCCTTCACATTTGATAGTTTTTTAAGGGCTTTTTTTCTTGTTCACCAATTTTTTGAATTATAACTAAATGCTCTTGAAAAGCAATTAATAAATGTATTCAGGAGTGAACAAGTGTAGGAAATTTCTGCCTCTTTTGATATGTAGAAGCTTTAAAGAAGAATCTGGATATTTTATTTCAAAACTGATATCTAGACACGTTCAGTCGCTGCCTACCCTTATGGATGCTTGAAAAGCACTTGGGGTCTCTGCATAGCCTGGCAAGGAACAGCCTGGGCAGGAAGGACCAGCCTTATTCTCTTCTCTTACCTTGAAACAGGTCTGGCAACCATGGAACTAACACCTGCATTTCTTCATGCTCTCAATAAGGCACCAAGTCCTCCTGGAACTGTCATCACAAATCCAGGTATTGCAGGACCAGTCTTTCAGGAGTCAAATCCTTAAGGGGATGACATTTTTAAGAAAGCACCAAAACTTCTGAACACATATTTAACTCAATTTTCCTTTCCATCGATGCTCAGTGTAGGCTTTGGTGCCTTCTGAACATACCCCTTTATCTTCTCAAGGTGGGTGACAAGCCAGACTTATCTGGGAACCAGCATGGGAGCAGTGCTACAGCTGGAAGAAAAGATGCTTTCAGGCTTAAATTACCTAGGGAAACATTGCAATTGTAATTGTATTGTACACATGTTGAAAGTTACAAGAAAAAGTAAACTGTATGAATATAGTCAGCAGAGTGGCAATCCCAGTATGATGTTTCAGCTACTTAAAGTGGGTGAGTGGGTTCTGCAGATAAATTCAGTACACTTTTGAGCTATTGCAGTCATTTGAAAATCTATATGCAACTAGAAGGAATTCATGTTGCATCTTTTTTAATTACCTGCAGATCTAGCACTTCAAGAATCAGTGAAGATTCCTTAATTTCATTGATAACTGAACCCAAGAAAGAGCATCTCATCTAATTAAGGCTGGTGCTCCCAATGATGGCCTTCAATCTGTGTACACATTGTAAGCTGTGCTTGAATAAAGGCAGTGCAATCTGGCTTATAAACTGAATTACCAGTACACATACATTTTCATATTTCCAATCATAGGGCTGTCAGATACAAACTTTCAGTGACTTAAAAATACAGACCATTTCCCTAGAGATTGATAAGGACACTTAATAGTACAGCAGCTTTATTATTTTACTTATGAGCATTTCAGACCTTGCATGTGAATTGAAAAAAAATGGAGTTACTCCGCTGCCAAAAGCTGTAGACTTTATAGCACTGACAACCATTTTAATATACTAATTTTAACCTTTTGAGTTTTTTTTTACTACAGTCTAGTATTTTCTTCTTTGTGATAGAATCTAACAAAACACTGATATAGGCCTTTCAGAAATGTGACTTGCTGAAAACTTTGCTGTCTGCAAATACTTTATTATAATCAACACAAAGGCAATAGAATAAGTAAGAATGACAGCAAGTGCAAGTAAGGGAGACATGAACTTTAAAACATATTCACATCATAGGGAGCTGACAATTTCCATACAAATGACAGCACAGGTATAATGCCAAATTTTCTTAAGAGTTCTACTGAATCAGAATCATGCCCAGTGAATAGCAAACAGTAGCTAGGAGGCACTTAATTTGTATAAAGGAGGCACTTAACTTGTACAAATGCATTCTTGGTTTCAGGAAAAAAAAAAATAGAAAAAGCAAACAATAATTAAAGATGCTGCAGAACATGGACAAGTGATAAAGGCAGGACTGGTTTCTCATCATTAGGCTGTCCTCATCTAACCTGCTCATTTTAGGCAAAGGAAATGCATTAGATCTAATCTACCTGAACTTCAGCGTAGCATTCCCACAAGAGAAATTATTAGTTTAAATAGGAACTAGGAGAAAGACTCTAAGTGTGGACTTAGTTAATAATAGGAAATGGGATGAGAGAGTGTTCAAAGTGAAAAGGTATTAGTGATTTCTGAAAGATCAGTTTGAGAATCTTATTAACATTTAATTTTTTTAGTCATTAAATTAGCAATCAAAAGTGAAAGTTTTCTGGCAAAACACAAAAGTCAATTGGTATTGTAAGTGGAAAGGAAAAGGAGGATCTCATTTGGAAAGGACTGAATTATCTGAAGAAAGAAAGAATTGAAAGGTGGATTACATGTAATACTATTTAAAAAAGATCACGTGTTAGCTAGATTCATCCATTAGAAAACAGGTGCAGCTGCATATATCAGGGATACAAGGAAAGCAGTGGATATTATGTACCTTGACTTCAGCAAAGCTTTAGACACTGTCTTCCATAACATCCTCATAAGGAAGCTTAGGAAGCGTGGGATAGATGAGTGGACAGTGAGGTGCATTGAGAACTGGCTGACTGGCAGAGCTCAGATGGTTGTGATAAGAGGTACGGAGTCTAGCAGGAGGCCTTAATTATTGTTCCCCAGGGGTCAGTACTCAGGCTGGTTTTGTTGAACATCTTCATAAATGATCTGGGTGAAGGGATAGAGTGCTCTCTCAGCAAGTTTGTTGATACAAAGCTGGGAGGAATGGCTGACAGACAAAAAGGCTGTGCTGCCATTCAGCAAGACCTGGACATTCTGGAGACTTGGGTTGAGAGGAACCTAATGAGGTTCAACAAGGACAAATGTAGAGTTTTGCACCTGGGGAGGAATAAGCATACGCTTATTCTCCCCGATTCCATGCTTAAGTACAGCTTACGGGCTGAACTACTGGAAAAGGAGCTCTGCAGAGAAGGACCTGGGTGTCTCATCATGTATGCCATGATGCCTAATGTTTGCCATGAATCAGCAGTAGTATCCTGGGGTGCATTAGAGTGTGGCCAGCACATTGAGGGAGATGATCCTTCTACTCTCCTGTGCCTTGGTGAGGCCACATTTGGAGTTGTGTGTCCACTTCTGGGCTCCTCAGTTCAAGAAAGACGGAACCAGCTCTGCCTTGGCTGGCACTCCACGCAGCATGGTTCTTGGATTTGCAGGGCTTAGTGATTTTAGGGCTGAAAGCGATGACGAAACCAGTGCATCTTTGCTGTTTGCATTCGTTTTCACTGTTTTTTGTTTGTTTTCAACCTGCGAACAAAAATCACAATGCTGTGGAACAAAGCAGACTTTTTTGCTTCTTCATAGGCGACAAAACTGTAAAACTACTGATAGAAACGCCACACTCTGCTTTCTCCGCCCGGAGGGTGCAACTGCGGGGACAGCTCAGCAGCGCTGTCCTCCTGCACCCGACTCGCTTATCCCAGCCTCCCGCAGCATTTTCCCCGAGGGGACTCCTCCAAGCTCGGGCAGGGGCGGACACACCGCATGATTCACCGGGGACTGTTTGCCTTGGCCCCGGAGGCCCATCGTGCGGGGAATGGGATTTCCATTCCCCAACGTGTCCTTTGGTAGGCTTCCCTGGAAGGCAGCGCGGGCCCGCACGCCGCCGGCGGAGGCTCCACGTTCCCGTGCTGCGGGGAGAGCTCCTGGGCCGGGGCAGGGCCAGGTCTGACGGCGGCGGGAGAGGGGCTGGAAGGGGGGTGAGACGGGGACACCGCGGCCGGGAGCTCGCGTCCCTCAGCGGAGAGGCGGGAAGCACGGAGCCGACGCGAGGGCTGCCGGCCCCGCTCCGTCCCTCGCGTCAGGCGGGAGCGCAGCCCCGAGCCGGGCGGGCAGGAGCGGGACCGCGTCCCTCAGGGCGCCGGCAGCCCCGGCCCTCACCGGACGGGCGGGAAGGAGCAGAGCTCGCCTGAGGGGAGCGGGCCGCGCCTCCCGGGGCAGCCTCTCGCCAGTCGGGCTGCTCCCTCCCCTGGGGCTTCCTCCGCCCGGGGCTGCCCGGGAGGCGGCGGCTCCCCTCAGCCCGCGGCGCTCCCGGGGGGGCGGGAGGGGGAGCGCTGTCCGGGGCCGCGCTGAGGGGAGGAGGCTCCCGCGCTCGCTGCCGGCCGCTGCCCGGCGCCCAGCGGAGCGGCCCCTCAGCCGCAGGTAAGCTCCGCGCCGCCCTGCCCTGCCCTGCCCCGCCGCTCCGGGGAACGGCACAGCCGCCGCTCCCCCGGCCCAGGGCCCCGCGCGGCGGAGGGACAGTCCTGCCCCGGGGCCCCGCCGGCTGAGGGGCGGCCGAGCCGTGGGCTGCGGCGGCGGGCCGAGGGAGGCGGGGGCCCTGCGGGGTGCGGGTGGCTCGGAGGGCAGGTCGTGCGGGGAGCCGCGCTGGAGGGCTTCCCTTCGGAGTGCGTGGGGCTGAGGAAGTTCTCCGGGTGCCCTATTCTCCCGTGCGCGTTTCTCTAGCTCGCGTAGCGTGCGCTGTAAGAGGAAAAACTGACCGTATTTTACAAGCGGTGCAAACGCGGAGCCTGACTTTACCTAGGAGGGTTTGCAGCGAGCAGCCTGCAGGTGCTTTGCCGCCCTGCAGCACAACCGGCGCTGTGCAGCCCCGCAGGTAGGGCCGGGAGCGCTGCCCGCGGGCGGTCTGACCGGAGGGGAGGGACAGCGGGGCTCGCTGCGTGCCACGGAGCTGCCCTGGAGACCCAGCCTGCGTGGTGCTTTGCAGCCTTACGGAGGTGCTTGTGGTATCTTTAATGAGTGCTTATCGCTGTTTCAGAAGGCAGTACTTGGAGTGTCAGACTGACGTGTGCCATGATGCTTGATAGTGTTGGCTCGGAGGGAAGGTTGCAGCCTCCTGATCTATTAACACTGCATAGAATGATAGAATGATAGAATGGTTCAGGTTGGAAGAGACCTTGAAGATAATCTAGTTCCAACCCTCTGCTATAGGCAGGGACACCTCTCTCTAGACCAGGTTGCTCGCAGCCCCATCCAGCCTGGCCTTGAATGGTTCCAAGAAAGGGGCATTCATAACCTCACTGGGCAACCTGTTCCAGTGTCTCACCACACTCACAGTAAAGAATTTCTTCCTAATACCTAGTCTAAATCTACGCTCTTTCAGTTTAAAAGCATTTCTCCTTGTCCTGTTGCTGTGTGCCCTTCTAGAAAGTGCCTCCTCAGCTTTCCTGTAGGCCACCTTCAGGTACTGGAAGGCCACAATAAGGTCTCCTCAGAGCTTCTCCAGGCTGAAGAGCCCCAGCTCTCAGCCTGTCCTTGTAGGGGAGGTACTCCAGCCCTCTGATCATCTTTGTTCCGTTCTCTGGACCCACTCAACAGTTCCGTGTCCTTCTTTTGTGTCACCTGTATCTGTGATAAATATCTGTATCTGTGATAAATGCTCAACGTGTATCTCTTCCTAAATGCCTGGGTTTTCTTTTCCTGCCGTCATTCATGGGCTCAGTGATCCTGACTGAGATCTGGAAAGGTGGCATGTTGTGTTTTTGCTTTGCTACTTTCAGGCAGCTGATAACATCAGAAGAAACTGTCATACAGGATCCCATAATAAATTTGTAGATCAAGAACTTAATAAAGTACACATTGGGCTTTTTTAGCAAAGTCCTGAAACTTGATCCAATATTTCTTTAATAATAATAATTTTAATAATTTTTGATTGATATACCGTTCACATAGATATGACAGCTTTAAACATCAGATTTTTAAGCTTTTTCTCATGTGCTATACATTAATATAAGTATATTGTTGAATCATGGAATTACAGAATGGTTTAAGTTGGAAGGGACCTTAAAGATCATTCACTTCCAACTCCTCTGCCATGAGCAGGGTTGCGTACCACTAGATCATACTGCCCAGGGCCCCATCCAGCCTTGAACACCTCCAGAGATGGGGTATCCACAGCTTCTCTGTGCAACCTGTGCCAATGCCTCACCACCCTCTGGGTAAAGAATTTCTTACTAACAATCTTACTTAAATTTCCACTCTTTTAGTTTAAAGCTATTCCCCCTTGTCCTATCACTACTACACCATGTAGAAAGTTGATCAACTTTGTGCTTAAAAGCTCCCTTCAGGTACTGGAATTAAACTTGATTTATTTTATATCCTAAGGAAAGGTAGCTCTTAATTTCATAATGCTGAGATCCTATACCCTGCAGGCAGTATTTATACAATTATTTTACGTGAATCCTTCCATTGACTTCACCGGGATTTCTCACAAACCAACCCACACACGCTTTAGGGCTTATGAGGTGGGATCCAGCTGTAACAGTAAAGATATTTTAATCAGTTCATGTAAATAGGAAAGGCTAATCAGATCTAAATACTCTCCTATGACTTATAAATTGTGTCCATGGGAGGGTAAAGCACTATCCTCTGCTATTTCATTATAATCTGGACATCATTAACAAGCTCTTTTTACATAGTGTACTCATTGTTAGGCTGTGTTTTCATTGTGACTAAGGAGTATTGGGAATGGAGTGTGTTCTATCCCCAAATTACTGTTTTACACTAGTGCTGGTACTGAGGTCAGTGTGGGTTTGCAAATATGTTTTAGAACTACGGTGTCTTTTTTGTGTGTGTGTTTTTTAAGAAAAACTTTCTGTTTGCAGTTAGTCACAGTCCATTATGGTCTTCACAGAGACAAAACTCAGCAGTTCACATACATATTGTATGTCATATAATATGTGGTTTCATATAAATACCTACTCAGAGTTGTAAAAGTGAAATTTCTCAGTTTTGCCACACGGCTCATCTGCAAACTTAGTGGAAACACTGATGCCTAGATCCAATTCAGAACCAGAAAGTACAAGTAAGTCTGTCCCTCAGGAACATGATAATGAAGAGGTCTATTGTCCAAGTGGCAGCTGAAGGAATTGTAACGTGGAGATTGATGCTGTCATAAAGTGAAAATTCCCAGTGCTAATGCTTTCTGTCTGACCACTAGAAACTATGCAGTGTGAGCCATACTGTGGGGGCACTGTTTTACAACATCACTGGTAATTTCTGTATGACAAGTTTCTGAAATTATTGAAATGATCTTCAGCTCTGAGCAGGGGTCAGATCTGATGATGTCGGTGTTCCCTTCTTACCTCAGTTATTCTTTGATTCTGTGATTTGGTACTTAGTACTTTTACCTCAGTGATATCAGGAAGCCTGTAAGTGATTTAGATGAATGAGGTAAAAAAACAAAAAACCAAAAAACTAATAGATCCCTTAGTGTTCCTTATTTCGTTAGTTGTAGAAAATTAATTTATACATGTAGCACCCATACTCTAAGTTCTATAGATAATGAAGTCCATTATGTAGAAGACCCACTATAATAATTACACCTCGCTATAAAATGTAATGCAGCGTGCTGATCTTTGCTTTTCCTGATATGCTCTCTGTTTTGGTGTGCATGCTCTTTAAGATGTGTGCATGTGTCTGACCTCAGTGCTTGAATAGGCAAACTGTTCTCTCCCACCCACAGTGCTCTGACAGCTTCCAGAATGCGGTCTCTCTTACTGCAGCACTTGAGCCACACTGCATACGGGAACTCCTGCACAGTGCTGGGTTTGTTGCAAGATTTGACTGACCACCTGATGTCATTCATATCCCTTCTAGAAACTGCCCTGTTTTAGATCTTCCCTTTACTGTTTTGAGATGTAATATACAGCCCCGTGCCATTTTGGTTTTATTATTTATTATGATGGTTTTATTGTAGCAGCAGACAGAATAATTAGGTACACAACTTTTGGTCTGAACCCACTGCAGACTTTGGTTACTCTTATTGTCTGGATGCTCGTTATCACATTGGTAAAGGACTTGATGTAGCCAAATCAACAGTTTTGTCATTGTGGTGGCTTGCAGCGCTGTTATGAAAGCTACTTGCACTTGGTGTTTTTTTTTTTTTCTGAGAATACACCTTATTTACTAATGTACTTTTAATTAATGGATTTCCCAAATTCTTTGATAGTACTGACAGCACAGTTGGCCTAAGTTAGCCACCTGGAAGGAGCTAGTGAATGTGTTAAATGAGGGAGTGCTACTCTCCAGGGCTTGGTGTCACCCTGGGTAGATTCATGCACTCCTGTATGCATGGTGGTGCCTGCCTGGAGGACTGGGGAGAAATTTGCAAACTTGGAGCACCTGTAGCCTTGTTCCCTCATAATAATTTAACTGCATCAGTGATTTGTGTTTTACAACTGTGGCTTTAGGGGAGTTCTACCTGTGCTGTTCTCCCAAGCCTAGCAAAGACGTGCTTGTGCAATAAGAAGTCATGGAAAGTCCAGTTTATCTTTAATGGAACAGGATGACAGTAGTGTGCTCCTTTGTAGGGGTGAAGGAGGCATGTTCTTCTGCTGATGTGATAAATATCCTCCAGCTGCCCCCACACGACACCTGCATAGATAGGGTAGATATTTTCCAATGCTCTGAGGAATTCTGTAACTATTTTCAGACTGGAAAATGCCTGTGTCAGCAGTCCAGTCCAGAAAGAGGGAGGAAATTATTAATAATCTGTGTCCTGACATCCATACCACACACAGTGATTTTAATGAGTAATGGACTGGTAATGCATGTGCTGGCTTGTGGTAGTGAAATACCTTGGAACAAGTTCTAACTGATAGTTAACGGGGCTGTAAAGTGTCTGCTGACTTTTTTTGTTGTTTTTTTTTTTTTTTTTTTTAATATCTG